GTACTGACGCCGGACACTGCAGAAARATGTGTTCGATGGTTTCAGCCCGCCTCCTCCCAGGGTAGCACTGGAGGCATTTACGACACCATGGCAGCGCCTTCCCTTGTTGTTCAAGCCGGGTGTGGTCAATTAGCCAGYCRTTAGTAGGTAMACATCTGTGTTCTATTTGCCATTGGAGCGCCGAGATTTTGGCYGGTCTGCAACTATGCTGTGCAAACCATTGAATAGGCTTGAGCAGGCCGCGATTAATATTGAGATGCCGGTACCATCTCTCGTCCACACTCTCTCGCAGCCCCCTCTTGGTTCTTAGCATACGGTAGACCGATTTAGATTTAAGCTTATATAGTGACAGTGTGWCAGCCCCCCTTTTCCCAGGCCTGGTACCTTGGGTCCATTTCCATTCATCGGGGTCCAGGGGGAGGTCCTCGATCGGGGTCATTGGGCAATACACCTTTGGGTGGCCTTCTTCCTCGATGATCCTGATGGGATAGACCCCTTTTCTCTCCCTCCATACAAAGGGTTGTTTTTCCATTGTAGCCCATCGTCCTTTTGGATAGAAAAGATTTCTATTAATACGCGAGATGGATCAGTCAGGTGCACCCTCCCCACTTCCATATTATGGTCGGGCAGCCCCACCCAATCCCCTTCCTTCATGCAGGGGCCTTTTTTGAGGGTGGTGTACCAATGGAGGGGAAAACTATCAATGAGTTCGTTTAGTGCCATCTCGGTGAAATGGCAGTACCGCAGCCAGGCTCGCATCTGTCCTGTGTTCTTCCAAGTCCTTGTCTCCTGGTCCCATAAGTCCCCCACCCTCCGTACCCCGTGTTTTACCCATCCTTTCCAGGGAGTGTCAGAGCTGCACCGCACCCGCCCTTCGGAGTCTGKTATTAGACGGTTACCAAAGAGGGGTTGCCTAAATATTTCTTCCCACCTTTCTGGCGCAGGACGGTCGGGGGGGGGGAGTCTCCTCCAGGTAYGTAGAAGACGCACCCAGTGTTTGTCAGCAGGATCGYCGTTTCTATACTTCCTAGGCACCTTCCAGTACCTGTCCTCTAACCACACCCGAGGATCAATCTCTGGTGGGGTTTCCGGAGCCAGGTCTGCAAGCTGGGTCAGGGTTAAGGGTACCCATGGGGATGAAGATGAGAAAACAATGTGCTGGATCTAGCGAATTGTGAGGGCGTGGAATTGCGTGGCCGGATCAACGATTCTAAGTCCTCCTCTATTCTTGGGCTGGATCACCGAATCCCATGCAACCCGGCTTATCATGTGGGCAGTGTTGTTGTCGCCACTCCAAAGGAAAGCCACTAGCTGTTGCTTTAATGCTTTAAGACCCCCGTTACTCATTGGCCATAAGATGGCCTTATACCAGAGTGTGGCCAGGATTACGTTATGATCAGCGCTCTCCCAAAAATTGATGTATGTTTGTTATTCCATTTTTCAAGCTTGGCTCTCGCTGGTCCAGCCAACCATTCATCATTCGTTGTCGGCTTTCCTCTGGCAGTCATATGTGCCCCCAGAACTCTCAGGGGGTCATCGTGGGGGAGCCACATGATTCGTGGGCTCTCCGGGGGTCTCCCCCCCTGATGGTGCATCCACCAACCTACCGTTTTTTGTCCCCAATTGACTGTCATATCGGACAACTGACATAACTTGTTTATGAGCTGCTGAATCTCCTCCATGTTAGATTCTGTCGCTTCCATCATGATCGTTAGATCGTCTGCAAATAGGGAACAAATAGGAATCGCATCTTGCGGAATATTGGATATCTTAATGCGCGTGAGATTCTTATTTTTTCTCAGGTTAGCTGATAGCGCTTCCATTATTACCAAAAAGAGGTATGGGGCAATCGGGTCCCCTTGCCTCACCGATCGTTGGAGCTCAAAAGGCGGTGTCACTGACCCATTGACCTGGACACAGGTAGTGGCGTTTTTGTGTAGGATCTTAACCCAGCGCCGAAACGTCGGACCGAAGTTCATTTTCTCCAGGCATTTATCCAGGAAGTCCCAATGCACATGGTCATAGGTTTTTTCGAAATCAATGAAAATGATGGCTGCATTTGCCCGATTCCGTTGCGCCAGTTGGACCACGTCATTAACCAGCAAGATGTTTTCTTGTATATTTGTGTTGGACATGAATCCTGTTTGGGCCGGGTGTATGACCTCTTCCAAGACCGTTGTCATCCAGTTAGCCAGTGCTTTGGAAAACATTTTGTAGGCTACAGAGAGCAGAGTGATAGGCCTATAAGTTCTGATGTTCATTTTATCTCCTTTTTTATAAAGGAGGGACAACACCTCTCTTCCTACAATCTCCCCCATTTCCCCAGCCTCCCAGACGTCTTGATAATACTCCCACAGATCGCTGCTCATATCTGTCCATGTGGTTTCCCAGAACTCTTTGGGAAAACCGTCAATGTCGGGGGTTTTTTCTTCCTTCATTTGGAGGAGTGCAGTCCATACCTCTTCTTTCGTGAGCGGTATCTCCAATCCGTCCCGTTGCTAAGGGGAAATAGAGCGGCCCATTGGGGAGAGGAATTCTTGTATTTCCATGATTCTCGCCTCCCCCTGTGGCCCCTGTGGGGATGGAATTTGGGAAGTATACAGTTATTTAAACAATTTCCTGGTGATCAACGTGCAATGTGCAGTGCCTGTGGCGATGGTGTTACTGTTCTCCGGGTCGAAAAAAACTTCGATAGTCGTCCGTCTAGCTCTGGTGGTGGCTATTGAGAAAAAATGTGTGTCCATTGATGCTTCGTGTGCTAGTTGGGTCATTTTCCCTCGAATCCTAATCCCTTGCCATCTATGTAACGCAAATTGTAGGAGCTGGTCTTTCTTATTTTGGATAGCTGTGATAAGGTGATGTGGCTCGTGGGTGAACGTAGTAAGAAGTTGCGACTCTACCTGTTGTTCCAGGATCATTAGTTCGTTATGGGTAGTCATTTCTTGGTATTGTCGTAATGCTGCCTTGGCTTTAGAAAATTTCTTGCATTTCTTTGCAAGGAAGACTAGACCGTTGTTAAACCAGATTAAACACGAGTCAAAAAGATGTTTCTGTTGACGCCAAAAGTTCCATTTGTGCCTGATCATCTGCGAGAAGGAAGCATCCTTAAGCAGGGAGGTGTTAAGTTTGTAGAACCCGGGTCCTTGATCGGGCCTTTTCCTCATAGTCAGTACAATGCCGCAGGTTTTATGGTCCATCCCCGGATGCAGGCTTCGTGGGAGAATCAGTGCCCATCGCAGAGCTCCTTCCAGATCGTTGGATAGTAGGATAATATCGATTATGGATTTGGATAGACGCGCTGGATCATTATCGCGTACGCATGTAAGGACTCGCGCTTGGGGGTGCAGCCGTCGAAAGGTGTCGAAGACCGAAAGCGATCCAAAGAGGTCGGCTATCATTTGTTCATCCTCTGCCGCTGCAAAGGAGGGCGATTCCTAGGGATTCCATCTGTCCAATCCTTTGTCGGGGGTAACATTGAAATCTCCTGCTACGACCAGGGGAACGCCTTCCGGGACTTGCATGCCGATCCTCCCCAAGAACTCCCTCATTTCCCCTGCTGTATTTCGAGAGTAAATGTCGATGACGCAAAGCAATTCTAGCTCCAACATGCCTAGGACCGAGGCCTAGCGTCCCTCTTCCTCGTCCACTGCCCAGTGGACAGGTTGAAATCTAGAGTTTGGGGGGACCTAGATTGCTATCCCTGCTGAGCTGGGTCTCGGGGCGTGTGCTCTTATAGCTGTGTGAGGCCAAATTTGCTTATGCGCTCAGTTATGCTCCAGGTTGTCTAGCAAATGAGTTTCTTGTATGCAGATTACGTCAGGCCACCGCCTGCCTCCAATTCCTTTGAGTTGATCCCAAATGGCTTGGCGCTTTTCGGGTTTGCTTGATGCCAGACCATTAACGTTARTGGAGCGCAGGTCCAGGTCGGCCGAATCAGCGCATTTTCGCCACGCCAAGTTTCTACAATATAGTGTTTCGAGGTCGTCCATTTCTTTTTGTCCTTATTTAATGGATGCCTTAGCGTGAGATCCCGTCCGTTTAGGTGCGTCATAGTGGGTGCCAATGCTTGAGGTCCCATTTGTCCAGGTGCAGTACTTTTTTTCGTACTATTCAACACAGGCATCGACAAACATCGTCTTCGGACCAGAAGTCGCTGGCTTTGATCTTGGCACATTGCAGGTCCAAGAGAGCATTGTGGCTAAACCAGCCTAGATTAGAAGTTTTATTGGGGTCAAAGAGCAGGTACAGGTCATACCGAGCTATTTGTTCAGTAGAAGCTTCAAACCTCAATCCTGCCCTTGCTCCCCGGGAATAGTGTTTGGGGATGAAGGTCGACATTTGATCAGAAAACACTCTGCCTTTTTCCATGCGGTCCTTCTTATGGAGCGAGAATTCTCAGCCAAGCATCGTTACGCCCCTGTAATCCCCAGTCGGGGAGAGACCCAACTCCCGTTTTCCTTCCGCTTTCCTGAGGGGGATTACCATCACCCCATTAAGTTTGGAGAGAGGTAGCTCGAAGAGGCCCCGTTCGATGAGCTGCCTAACTTTAAGTCTTCGAGAGGTCATCCCCTCCTCTGTTGTTTCTCTTCCGCCATTCGGCCCTGCACACGAGGATTCATGCCCGGGTGGGTGTGGAGCAGATGGCTCCGCCGCTGGAGGCGGGTGAAATCGTCCTCGAGCGACGACCAATATGCGTTGAAATGCTTCAGCCCATGTTAAATGGGGGGGGGGGGGCAGAGGTGAGCGCGTTCCTCAGGGACGGGCTGTTATTGAGGAGCGCCACTAAATCGACGTAAGATTTGTCTCAGTATTCCTCTCCTTCGTGTGGGCAGTYTGCTTGGAGATGTTTAAGAATCCAGTCCGCCACAACCTGGATTTTCTGGTCCAGGCTCATTTCTTGTGGGGGTGCGTCGGGGTCCGACGGGTCCTTGGGGGGGTCCTCCATCTCTACATCGGGTGGGGGGGGGGTTGTATCTACGTCCATTTGTTGTGCCCCAAAGGCGTCCGAACAGAAATCTGGAGCCAACTGATCAGGCTGTTCCTGTCGTTGGCCCTGCCTCTCTTGCTGGGGCCGGGGGGATTGCGGTTGCGGYTGTTGTGCATGTGACGGGTGTTGTTCGAGCAGGTGTGGTGACCGGGTCCTTGCCTGCTGTTTCAGTCTCATTCCRTGYTGTTTCTCTGGGGGTACATCCCTCCCTTTCTCCCCATTCATTGTTTTATKTTCCTCTGCTWTTGAGATGGGCTGAGTGTCCAGCAGGCTGCTTGTCTCCTTCCCKCCCGTCATCAAGTTGGATTGCGCTGACGATGCCTGGTCCTCCCCTTTGGGCTGGTCCTCTCCTGCAGAGGGMTCCTCYTGGGTTTCCTGCGTTTCTTGGATCAAATCAGCCCCGTCTTTCAGGCAATCWAAACGKTTACCCTGATTCCCGACTCCTTTTTCCRTTTCTACCAATTCCTTCYGCGAGGGTTCCTTCTTCTTGCTGCYGACTACTACCCASGTACCYTGTTTTTTYGACTTGGGAGGGGGCTGTAGATGTGTCTCCARCGATTTGGGGGGGGSCCATGTAGAAGGTGGCTGGGAACCCGGTCGTGGGTCCCCCTGCCCTTCCYATGACCARCCAACTACTTCCCCCTCCTTCCCCCCTGGTTTGTCAATGTAGACCCACCCCTCATAACCAGGGTCGAYCGTCCKCCACCTGGTTTCCTCAAAAGGGTCCTTTCTCAGAYGTCCGGTGGGTTTTGCTGTGCGTGAGGGATGTCGGCTACAGGCTGTATCAGTGTATAGGTGCCCATAGGCCTAGCATTTAAAACACCAGGGCCTGTGTTTATGGGCAGTGTGGACACGGTATACTTTACCCCCCACACAGAAGGGGATCACATCGTCAATCGAGAAAACGTGCTCATYAGCAAGGTTGATGGGTARCATTAAGTAGTCGTCCCTCCGAGCMACATGAGGAGGGAGCGGGTCAATGAAATCGATTATGTCTTATTTCTCGKCGATGTCCTAGACRAAGGCAGCTTGGATCTCGATCGGAATGTGCCGAAATTCTACCCAGAAGTGTTCTCTCATCAATTGATCCCTGCGTTCTTCTGGGCGTTGCGGCTTCGGAGGGGCCCATGGGTAGATACGGACCTCTGATCTATCGCACCGCAGAGATCTCCACCCATCCATCGTTTTCTTGTCGGCCTCCGATACACAGAGGACTGTGATGACAGACGACAAGGCTGRTTGGATGAGGAACCGTTCACGTGCATTCGCCGAAGATCCTTTGAATGCAGCTAACCGTTCTCTGATCCACCCAACCTTATCCTTTGTAGATTTGAAGGCTGCGTCATCATGGAAGGCCCAGTTACTTGCATGGTGAGTGTAAATGAAGTCCCTTGTTCTAACTGCCTCCTCGGGCAGAGCTCTAACAATGGTCGGCCTGCCCCCCTGCTGTAGAATCCTGTTCTCCGGGGTAGCTAGGAGGCGGGAAAGAAAGAAGGCCCCTGCTGATGTCAAGTTCCCTACAGGGATCTTCCATTCCTCCCCCCCCCCCTCGCTCAACCCCCCCTTCCTACGCTTGACTGTGATGCACGCTTGGGTAGGCTGTTCCTTAACCTTCTTCGCCCAGGTCCTGACAGTCGGGCCCTGAGAGGATGAGCCTAGATTAGCCTCCGTAGCTGATGCCATTTCCTTGTCTTTTCCCTGATCCCTCTTATTGTCAATTGAGCCTTGAGAGGATGAGCCTAGATTGGTTTCGGTGGCTGATATCATTTCCTTACCTTTACCCTGACCCCCCCCATTATCACCCCCCTGCCTCCGGTCCGGGCTCTGATTCGAGCTCAGATTCCCGTCGGGGGTATTATCCCTTTCCCCGTTAAGGCGACTCTGAGCATACTGCCTGACTATCCCTCGATACAACAACATAGAATCTAGCCTTTTGTGAGCACGCTGGCGGCGGGTCTTCATGCYGCTGCTCACCATCCCGCACTGTCGTACGMCCGGGATCCTGTCGGGAATTGGGGTGAGGGTGGAGGGCTGGGACAGGTTCGAGGGGGCTGAGTGSAAGACCGATCCKGATGAGAGATCGAGCTCTACRATGGCGGATCAGATCAATCCGGAATGGGTAGGGGATTGGGACAGGAGGTCGGGGTCCAGGGTTGCGGGACAAGTTCACTTCGGGATAGGTGGGGGGTCGTAGCAAAGKGTCRGGATCAAAAGTACTCAGGATSAGGATCGGGATCTGGAGTGGAGGGAACTGGGGGTCGGGAGCAGGTCCGAGTTGGAGCYGGGAACGGAAGTGGAGGGGGATTGTGATCGGAATCAGGAGCGGAGGGGACCGGGGTGTTGGAGTAGGGGGTGGGGTTTGGGTCAGCAGTGGAAGGAGAG